CCCCCCCCCCCCCCCCACAGATTGACTGAAATATCTGTATATCCCCCCTCAGGACTCACTTTTACATCTGGATCCCCCCGTTATCACATCTGTTCCCTTTAAGACGAAACGCGGTGAAGGAACCAGTCTGTCGTCGGCGTCCTGAAGCTGAACTCTTTGGTTCTTTGTCATCAAGAGGAAGCGAGCCCCCCCCCCCAGATTAATGAAACCCAAAACCTTTCTGAGCAGAACAAAATGAGAAGCCATGAATGACGCACCGAGTTTCAAGTTACTGCAAACGCACAGCTGATTTCTTCAGAAGTTTATTCACAGAATGAGATGTGAGGAGGCCCCCTGGCACCTGGCCGAGCCCCCCCCCCCCCCCCCCCGACCCCCTCTCTAGAAGTAGAGTTTGGCCATGGCCTGCAGGAACCTCTTCTTCCTCTTCTGGGCGGCCAGCTGCAGGACCTCCTCCGGGTTGCTGGTGTTCAGCTCCGTCTGGCCGATGGCCTTAATCTGCAGAGCCGGGACACTTTGGGGCTTAAAGGCGCAGCCTCAAACATCTGCAGCGTCACAGCGTTGCTCAGAGATGACAGTCAGACAAAGTCAGGACAAAAGGAACAAAGACATGCAGCACCGGAGAGTCAAAGCTGCTTCTAATGGCGGTAAAAGTAGGAGCGGCTCGTTTTCAGACCAGTTTTCAGGAGCTATTTTAAGCCTGTTAACCATTCAGAATCAGAATCAGAATCAGAAATACTTTAATAATCCCAGAGGGAAATTAAATAAAATAAATTCCCTTACGATCCTCAATTTTCTGAGGTCTTAATGAGATTAATGAGACATTTTGGTGTAAATAGCTGCTGGTTTTAAGCCTTTTTTTAAAGAGAAGTGATGCTATCTTGACCATCTTTGCTCCACAATCTGTGAAAAACGCTGATAGTTTTATTCTGAACTAGTTAATGTGCTCCTGTCGAACTATGTCTAACAGATTTATGTCTTTTCTGTGTGTGTTGACAGCCTTTCTAACTTTTAATTTCCAAAACATTAAACTTTAAACCCTCATTTGACCGAAAACACCTGAAATTTAAATCCCATTTTACCTCAAACACCCTAAACTGAACAGAAATCCTCGTTTTTGGAACCAAATCTTCCTAAAATAACATGCTGGTTTACCTCAAAACACCCTGAACTGAACAGAAACCCTCCTCTTTGGACCCGGTTCCCCCTCCCTAGCTCTCTCCAGCCTCCCTCTGAGCGGCTGCTGGCTGGAACAGCCCCCCAGACTCACCGCTATCTGCCTCTTCTCGGCCTCGCCCCGTTTGTGGTGGATATCTGAGCAGCAGCTGAGGAGGCACAAAGAGCTGAGAGGGAGCAGGTGGCGGTTCTGAGGTCCCTAAACGGACCATGGGGAGGATACGGGTCAGGTACTCCAGGATAGTGACGTCCCAGATGTAGTCGTAGAAGGAGTCCATGGCGTCGTGGCTGTGGAGACAGGGCAGCAGGTCAGGGGCTCCGATTGGCCGGCGTCCGACCAGAGCTGATCAGATTCGACCCGAGCCGGTCAGGTCCGATCTGAACCGATCTGACCCAGGCCTCACCTGTTCTGCTCCTGGAGGGCTTTGAACGCCGTCATGTAGTCCACTTCTCTCAGGAACTGGCACAGAACGGCGACCTGTGGAGAACCGGATGGCGCCCGGTGAGAAAACCGATCCGACCCAGGAGCTGTAGGGCCATGTGACCCCCGACCCCTGACCTCTGACCTGTGTGTGGCAGTTCATCATGGAGCAGCACTTGATCATCCTCTTCAGGACCTGCGGGGCACAGAAGCCTTTTTAGGACTCAAGAATCTAATTTTCAGCCCATTTTTTACAAATCTGTGATTTAAGAAACTTATTTTCGGTCCACTTTTATACATTTTCAGCCCATCTTTTAAAAATCTGAGGAAAAAAATGCCTCAGAAGCCATTTTATGCCTTAAAAATCTAATTTTCAGTCTATTTTTAAAAAATCTGGGAGAAAAACTTGCTCAGCCACCTTAATATGACTCAAGCATCTCATTTTCAGGCCACTTTCTTACCTGGTCTGTGTAGATATCGGGGGGAACTGCTTTGGTGAAGAAGTCTGAACTAACAGCTCCAGCCTGGAGGTAGAAGTTCAGAGCTGCAGAGTACTGGTTGGTCACTGCAAAGGGCAGAATGCAGATATTAGCTGTGAAGCAGCCCAGCAGAGAGGGCCATTACCGCCACCCCCCCCCTGCAGGCAGAGCCGGAGCCACACACCGAAGTAGATGTCGGCCTGCGTGACGAGCCAGGACTGGTTGTTGGGGTTGAGCGTCAGCGCGTAGGAGACCAGCTCTTTGACGGTCACGGCAACTGCCTCCACGTCCACGGCCTGAATGCTGCTCCACACACAGGGACAGTCAGCTCTGAGAGCCAAGCAGCAGAACCAGGCCGCAAGAGAACAGACACACAAAAAAACAGACACAAACAGACAGACACACAAACAGACAGACACACAAACAGACAGAAAGGACAAACAAGCAAGGTAACAAACAGACAAAGAAAGAGAGGGGCCAGCTTTACTTTGGCAGAGTGGACGGCCAGATGGAGAGGTGCTCTGCGGTCACTTCATTCACTATGTCGTCCTGAAGGGGAGCACAGAGGGGGGGGGTGAACAAGGGGGGGGGAAACTGGGCTCCAGTTTACTCACAATAACCCGATACGGGGACATTTGTATGTGAAGCTCCAAATGAGACAAAAATAACCAGCATCAACTGGGAGGAAGAGGAGGAGGGGGGAGAAGATGGATGAGGAGGAGGAAGATGGAGGAGGAAGAGTGGCGTTAGCGTTCTGGGGGTCTCCATGAATCACCCTGACGATGCTGTGCAGCCTCACGAACAGCGAGATGAGCGTGGTCATCACCAGCGGCTCCTGTGGAGAAGAGAGGTGTGGTCAGGGAACAGCAAACAAGAAACAGGAAGCAGGAGACAGGAAACAAGAAACAGGAAATAAGAAACAGGAAAACAGGAATCAGGAAACAAGAAACAGGAAGCAGGAAATAGGAGACAAGAAACATGAGACAGGAAACAAGAGACAGGAAACAAGAAACAGAAAGCAGACTGTGCTGCTGCTCACTCTGAGTTTCTTTATGAAGGTGATGAAGCGGCTCCTGTTTGGGGGCAAAAGCAGCAGAGTGAGTGACCGGTCTGAGTATCTGCGGTTGCCGTGGCAGCTGATCTGAGCAGCTGCGGTCGCCGTGGCAGCCGGTGGACCGACCGCTGCATGATGCCCAGAGACGAGTCCCTCTGCTTGATGAGCCCCATCCGGCCGTCGCTGCTCCGCTTGTGCTGCAGCGACACGCTGCAGATCTGCACCGCCGCCTCCCACAGCTCCTTGGCGGTGCGCCGGCTCTCCTTGGGACCCGGCAGCTCTTTGCAGGTGGAGGCCAGAAGCTGGCCGATCTGAGGAGGAGCAGCACAACAAGTCAAGCGTCAGAGGCACCGGGCAGGACCAGCAGGACACGGAGCCATGGCAAGGCTCCAGATGTTAAGAGCAAGGCTCCAGATGTTAAGGGCAAGGCTCAAGATGTTTGGGACAAGAGTCAAGATGTTTGGGGCTAAACCTAGAGGTAAAGGCTCTGGATTTTTAGGGCTAATCCTAAAGGGAGAGAATCCAGATGTTTAGGGCCAAGAAACTCCAGATGTTTAGGGCTAATCCTAAAGGGAAAGACTTCAGATGTTTAGGGCAAGACTCAAGATGTTTAGGGCTAATCCTAAAGGGAAAGACTCCAGATGTTTAGGCCAAGACTCCAGATGTTCGGGACTAATCCTAAAGATAAAGGTTAAAGATGTTTAGAACAAGACTCCAGATGTTTGGGGCTAATCCTAAAGGTAAAGGCTCCAGATGTTTAGGGCCAAGAAACCGCAGATGTTTAGGGCTAATCCTAAAGGGAACGGCTCCAGATGTTTAGGGCTCATTCCAAAGGGCAAGCCTCCAGATGTTTGGGGCCTAGAAACTCCAGATGTTTAGGGCTGACCCTAAAGGTCATTTTCAAGTCTGCGTTTCATCAGAACCTCTAAAGTTTCACCAGTCAGGTGCAACACCAGATCATCTTCTGATTACTCTTCAGCATTTCCATGATTCCCTTTAATGCGTTCAGCCTTAATAAGTCCATTATTTCTCTGGCCTGTGATCCCCCAGAGGAGCCCCTTACCTTCACATAGGGGTTGTTCATGACCAGGGAGGAGGGCACCTGCAGGGTCAGGTAGTCGTTCTCTCTCCAGTTCAACATGAAGGCCACGCACTCCTCTCCCACCACCTGGCGCAGAGGCACATCTGGAGACAGACCAGAACCGCTCAGAGACCGGCCCCCCTTACAAAGTTTAGTTTAATTATAATACAATTAGTTATTTCTCCGTTTCAGGACTTATTTATCAGACTGACGTCCATGTGCTTCACTCAGACACAGAAAGTGGAATCAGCTCTGTATCATTTAGAAGCTGGAGCTCCTACAGGAGGTTTCCCCATGCAGCTCTGAGGCTCTAAAGCCCCAAAACCAGGTTTTAAAGCAGTTTTTAACTGGTTTTAGACTTGATCAATGGCTGAGCTGCTCTGTTGTTAAACTGGATTAACACATTTTTCGACAGAAGCTGGACCAGAGGTGCTGACTCTGGATGCTGCTCTGCTTAAAGGGGATTATTGCCCCCCCCTCCTCGCTTACCGTGGATCCTCATCTCCAGGTAACCTCTGACCCTGCTGACCAGGTCGGGGGGCGGCCGCTCCCGGCTGCCCTCCAGCGCCAGCGCCTCGTGGGCGCGCACCTCCAGCAGCAGCATCTCGTTCAGCATCACCTGCCGCAGCTTCGGGGAGAACTCGGTGACCAGCTCCAGGCAGGCGGAGAACAGCTGCCTGCCGTGGCCAAAGTCCTGGGAGCAAACAGAAAAAACAAAACAAAGAGGTTGTTCTCTTTCTCCACAATCTGGATGCAGGTCTGGCTCCCCGGAGCCCTGCCGGCACCATCAGACCTTGATGGAGATGCAGTGGAGCCCTTTTGCCATGAGGATGAAGACCAGGTCCCTGGTCAGGTTGTCCTTGATGCCCAGGATGGCGTTGATGTAGTCCGGAGGAACCTCCCACTGCGGACACGAAGCCGGTTAGTCCAGTGGGCGCTGCACGCCACCGGCTAATGCCAGCACGCCGCACGCCGCCATACCTTGCTGTTGACCCTCCAGAAGGGCCGCTCTGCGATGCCGTGCAGCTCGATCAGGATCTGCCTGATCCGGCGAGGGTCCAGCGACAGGATGAGCTGCTGCTCCAGCTGCCCGATGCTCACCGAGGCCGAGGCTGAGGGAGAGTTTTAGCTTTTTATTTAAAATGAATGAATGAAATGAGGCCCGTTTGGCCTCCGCCGCTGGACGCCGTACCAGGGATGTCGTAGAAGGACGGCAGCGGTTTGGCGCTGAGGCTGATGGTGGCCGAGCGCTTCCTCATGGCCTCCACCAGGACCTTCCTCTCCTCCTCCCTCAGCAGCTCCACAAACAGCTTATGAGACGACACCACAAACACCAGAGGCAGCTCCTCCAAGCCCTCACACAGAGTCCTGCATAGCCAGATGTTCACAGGATTTAACCCCACTTCCTCCAGCTAAAGAGTCCTGACTGTTTTTTGTCTGTTTGGGTCTGAAAAGCAGCTGGATGCTTCCTACTCTGCTGGTTAAACTCTGACAGAAACCTGTCTGTGATCACACATCAACATCTGAGCCTCTGATCCAAACCAGAGTCCAGAGAACTCAGAGCTCTGCTGGTTTTCCTCCAGAATGAGGCTTCATTTCCTGGAAATGAGCTCTGTTCCAGCATCCAATAAAATAAAATAAAAATATGTCAAATTTAAACGTTGAAAATCTGCTTTCTGCCTCCAGAACCAGCTCTCATTTCCACTAAATGTGCTCTGTTCGAGCAGATATTACAGGCAGAAGTGGAAACATGAGTTCAGGAGCTGGAAGCAGAAATGCAGCATTTTCTTTTGGGGGGGGGGGGGGGGACACGAGGGTTAAAGGTCTCGTTACTCACTTCATGAAACGGGCCATGTTTCTTCTGGATGTCTCAGAAGGACGCTCCCTCTCCAGAGAACGTGCGCTCACCTTCAGAACAGAGGACATTTATACATTTAATTCAAATTGTTTATATTAATAAAATTCAGCTGATTACATTAGAATTTAATTAAATGTATTTGGATTAAATTTGCCTCAATTGGATTTCAAATAAATTCATTTTATTTCAATTTGTTGATGTTTACTATTTTTCAATCGATTTGAACAGAATTGAATGACATTTCATCTTTTCTCATTTAAATTACATACAATTATGTTATTTGCATCTAATTTATTGGACTTTCTTAAATTGATTTAGATTGATAGTAACTTAATTTAATAGCATTTAATGTATTCTAATTTAAATTAATGATTTAAATTTATTTCATTTCTATCAATTTTTTTCATTATACTTTATTCTTTTTTTTGTCTTTTTTCCCCACTTCCAGCGGCCTCGCCCCTTCCAGTGATGCTACTTTGTGCGTTTTGTTCTCTTTACTGCCGTTCCACCTCAGCCGGACCACCTGAGCCCAATACCTCTAAGATGAAGTCCACCAGCCGCCTGCTGGGCTTCAGGAGCAGCTGCTGAAAGCGCACGCTGAGGACTTCTCCCTCCAGCACGTCTCGCACCGCGTTGCAAACGCAGACTTTGTGGCAAACCTCCTCCAGACCCACCTCCCTGCACAGAGACCCAGTCAGGCCCACAGACCCGCACACTGTCCAGCATGAGGCTGGGTCTCCCTGTGGTCTCACCCCTGTTGCACTCTGTACAGGACCTCCCGGAGAACCGACCGTCTGAAGTGTTTAGGTAAACTGCGGCTCGTGTTGTCTCTGATGAAAGCTTCGATGACAGCCTGAAGGGGACAGTAAGGTCAGTAAGTTTAACAGTCCCAAAGAAAAGCAACTCCTCATTCATTTAATCTCCAAAGTGTCTCTGAGCAGCAGCTTCCTGCAGCTTTCCGAGTTTTTATGCTTCTTCTCTCATTTTCAGTCCTGTTAGCTGAGCATTTTTAGAGGAATGTGTTTTACTTGGTTGAAAAAGGCCACCAACTCAAGGGCTGAGCCAGGCTTACAATGACCAAAAATACAACAAAAAAAGAGTAAAAATTGAGCTAAAATGACCAGAGCTAAATGTATTTTTCCAGAGCCGGAGCTCCACATTATGAAGCAGTGTGGAATCATCTGACAGAGAACGGAGCCAAAGGCAGCAGCAGCATCCAGAGAAGAGCTTTGGGACGTCCTTCAAGAAGCTGGAGAGCTGCTCCTGGAGACTCTTCACAGAGAAATCCAAACTGTGCTGCATGCGATCAGGAAACAAACGCTTTGCTTGCGAACCTGGAAGTTGTGTGCTCGGATGAGGTTGTTGATCTGGTCGTACTGGGTGGTCTGGGGGTCTGAGGGGTCGCAGTCTCCCGTCAGGGCCCTGCAGGCGTCCCAGTAGCCGGCCAGCCGCCTCTCATCCAGGTGAACGTGCACCGTCGCCTCCAGCTGAAAGACATCACACCAGCACCAGGTTAGCCCCGCCCACAGAGGAGGCCGCCTCCATAGTCCGTGCACCACCTTCTTCAGGAGCTCCTTCGTCTGCCTGAAGTGGTCTCGAGCCTTCTCATAGGCCGACTGGTCTGTGCAGCCCTGCTGGAAGAAGATCCCTCCCAGGTCGTAATGCACCTGGAACCCAAACCACAAGCCGATATTAACACCAGGTGAAGGCAGATCCATGCAGTCTGATCCACTTCAGATATTTCTATAGTTGAGCAGACAGAATATCTCAAATACTTCCATCTGCTATCTATACAATGCTTCATTCTTTTGTTATACAAGTGACAAAACTATCTACAAATAGGTAAATCAATTTAAAACAATAAATGGGAGAAACCTTAGAAATATATACATATACAAGTCAATAATGCCTTCTATTCAGTCAATCTCATAAAAAATAAAATAAAATAAAATAATAAAAAAAGGTTCTCCAGCCAGATCGCCCACAGGATGTTTTCTTTCTCTCTCTCTGTCTAAAGGATCTTTCCCCTTTTTGGGTATGTTTCTCTTTGCTTTTCCTTCTGACAGACCTGACAGTGGAGCTCGTTGGCGCTGATCCTAAGCCCGGCGGTGGAGGACTCAGTTTCCCCGTTGGCAGCGGCAGCGTCGGCGGCCAGTAGGTCCAGCGTCCTCAGCGTGTGCACGTAGAAGTCCTTCTTCAGCTTCAGGGTTCCCTCCAGGACGCTGATGGAGTCGGCCGCCTGCTCCTTCAGCTGAGGAAACAACAGCAGCTACTTCTGAAAGCAGCCTCTGACCGTCCCCTGCTCAGCGACGCCAGCAGGGGGCGTGGCAGGAGCACCTCTGACCGCATCCACCCACCACAGCCAGGATGTTCTCCGTCATTTCTTTCTCCTGCTGCACCACGTTCAACCTGAAAGGCAGAAGAAGAAAGTCAGACGATGGGCACAAAGCCAAATGGCTGCACGTGTGCAGAGTGTCAGAGAAGATTGTTACATGTTCATCTGGTGAGGTCCCGGTTTGGTCTGCTTCTCCGGAAAGCTGCTGAGCACGATGGTGCGAATCGCCCTTTGACACACACACACACACACACATAGTGAGCAAAGGCCCTGTTAGGCTCTGGATCAGATGGTGCAAACTGAGGGGTTATTTCAAGGACTGCTTATTTCATTCATCACCCAAATTAACCCCCTGGAGGAGGCTGCTAGCAAATCTCAGGAGGGACCATTGAATCCACATTAACACTCATCAGGTTGAAGCTCACCAGCGGTTGTAGATGACGACCGCCATGGCGGTGGTGGGCGGCAGGGTGGAGAGGTCAAGGTCCACATGTTTCACCCCCGGTGGCACTTTGCTGGCACACAGGAGCTCGTTCAGCAGCATGTTCAGGACAGGAATGGTCAAGCTGGCACAGGAGAGGCAGGTTAGGTGACGATAAAGTCCATTATGTACTTTCTTTAGTCATAGAAAGATGAAACTTACTTAGAAATTGCATTAAGATTCACTGGATCACCTTAAATATCTCTTTATTTCCTCACTATTTCTTATCCTCCAACCTTCTTTGACCTTTAACCTCTTACACCTGGATTTACTGTCAAACCGTGGCTTCCTGCAGACTCATAGGCCCCTAATAAGCAGCCTCCACTGCTTTGCGTATGGAAGTGATGCCTAACTTTCCCATTTCATGTGCCATGGGAGTAAACAAGGAGGCCGCTCACCCTTTCTCCAGCAGGTCCAGGTCCCACTTCATGTGCGCGGCCACCTTCAGGGCCAGCAGCTTCAGGGTGCGGTTCCTGCGGTTGTCAGCCGGCGGCTGCACCTGATTCTGCTCGTTCACCGAGGGCTTGGAGGCCTGCTCCAGGAACTGGACGATCAGCTGCACCGGCGTGGGGTCTGCCGGAGACAAACACACACACACACTCTTCGTTTGCTTGGTCATCTTTGACCCGGGACAGATCACTGGGGGACACTGACCAGGAGTGGATTTCTCCAGGTGTTTCTCCAGCAGGCTTCCATCCAGGAGGAACTCGAACCAGGACACCTGAAGAGGCGTGCTGGGGCGGCTGCTGGTCACAGCCGCCACCCGGTCAGCTGCCTCAGCACTCATCCTCCCCTGAAAGGCAGCGACCCACAAAGATCAGCAGGTCAAACCCAGTGAGCAGCAGTCAACAAGCAGGGCTCTGAGCTTATGTTTTCATGACCAATCTGTGACTTACAGATCTTATTTTACAGTAACTAAATAATGCGAGCGCAGAGCTAAGAGTTTTCATCCTTTTCTTAAGATTCTAAACTAAATATCTATAAATAAATGTAGGTTATTGTATGTTGAGGTGAAATGTGTTTAAACGTGAAAGCTTTTGGTGGTTAGTTTTCATCACTTTAACACACCGACTGGTTGGGGATTGGAGATATTTGTGAATCGAACAACATTCGAGCTACTCTGACATTTAAATTAAGCGCACCCGCTCCGCCAATTCTCTGTTGTGCTCAGAAGAGGCGACGTTCGGCTAATATTTTGGCTAGCTAACAATACTTTTCCACTTCACCCGCTCAAGCTGCAATATACTGTCTTACCTGAGTACAAAACGGATCAAAATCGAGAAAATAAAAGGCATAAAAGTGCTTTAAAAACTCAGAATAAGGTGCTGGAGCCGCTACACAGACTGATTCTCACATAATTCATTCGGCGCTTCGCCATTTTTCTTCCGTACTTCCGGTTCCGGTCCGTCGTCAAGGAGACACATCGCGCAATAATTGCGGATATTTATGAGGAATTTAGGCTAACTTTGATTTGGATTTAATCTGTGGAATTCCACTGAATCAGATTCAGTGTGGTTTGTAAAATGGCAATAAAGGAAGTCTAAGTTCCCGTCTTATAGCAATAAATAAATGATTTGTTTCTCTCCATCTTCATCCTGCTCTGAGTCCTCCACTGCTCTGGATTGGGAGTCCTCTTTCTACAGTTATTTGGAGTTCAGCGGCGGCGGCCAGCAGGTCCAGCTGATTTTTGGGACATTTAGGGAAAAAAATAACTTACCCCACCCACCCCGCCCCCCCATGCAACATGGGCAACACACTGATGTATTAATCCCCATTATTTCCAGATGTGGAGGTCAGTTTAAAAAAAAATTGTTCAATAGCTCCAGTGAAAGTAAAAACCATTGAAGCCATGTGCATGAGGAAGTTTATTGAGCCAGAATTGACAAACTGTGAGCGTTCTGCTCCATGAGGGTCCGTTTGTATCCTAAAGACCAGCGGCTGCTAGAAATATTCAGAAAAGAACAATAAATCTATGAGGAACGCTGACATTTATCTGATCTATAAAGGATGCAGAGGGACGTAATCCCTGAAAATCACAGGAACTCTGTGAAAGTTCATCTTAAAAATGAGCTGAGGTAAAAGGATTTTGGCTCAGAAAGGAGCCACAGAGCACACAGGGGTTAAAACTGGATGTTTGGGAGCTCAAAGTGTCCATTTTAGGATCAGAGCAGCTGTGGAGCTGCTCACAGATGGTTCCCCCATGTAGCTGTAAGAGAAATGCTGTTTTATATGCCTTTATATGACTGGATCAGGGGCTGAGCCCCTAAACCTAGAGACAACCATGTCATTCTTTGTGTTCAACATGCATCAGACAATAAAAATTAAAGAGGCATGGCTTCTACTCAGCTCATTTTTCTATTGGCTGATGCCATGATGGCTGCACCTGCAAACCAACCGATCTTGATTTCCCTTCTAGGGAGACCGAAATCAATGTGCAAACATTGGACCAAGAACATTACAACCGAGGCTACGAAGCAGAAAAAGGCAGCGCGGAGCGACGGATCCCAGGATGAGAGCGGAAGCAAACAGACTCCCATCACTAACGCCGCCTCAGTAACATCAACAAACGCCTTCAAAAACTACAGTACAGTGATCAATGTGGCGGCTCCCTGCAGACTGAGCGTCTGCAGACACGGAGGAAACACGGGAGGGTCATGGCGGGTCTCCATGGAGACGGCGGCCGCCGTCAGTACTGGAAGGAGATGACGGGGTTGACTTTGTAGACGTGGTACGAGCGGTTCCAGAAGACCCGGGTGAAGTAGTTGGTGTAGGGCGAGTAGTTCAGCTTCATCTCGTGGCAGAATCGTCCGTGCTTGGAGAAGGAGAAGTTCTCCCCTTTGTTGTGGATCACCTGTATGGGACAGAAAAGTCTTGCTTTGAGCCCAAAATGAAACATTAACATAAAGGAATCAATGAACTGGTAAATATGGGATCAAAAATGGCACTTTCAGCGATTAGAAATGGGACTTCTATTTGTACCATTTATGCTAATTTGAGGCTCATTTTTGGGCAAATCTGAGCTGTGTTTAACCAGCACAGACTGAATGTCTTTAGTAACAGCACAGCACATGTTTGGGCAGCTCGGACACTCACGTGTCCGTTGGAGATGTCCAACAGGTCTTTGATTCTGCAGCCCTTCTGGAAGTTGAGCTCATTGCAGATCGACTCCTCAATGATTACATAGTTTGTTTTCTGAGCGGTCAGAAGTTTGTAAACGTCCTCGGCAGACCTCATCGCGTACACCTGGTAGGTCTACAGGCAAAGGGAATAATAGGGTATCTAAATAACTGAATATGATTATAATAGATTATAGTAATTCATCCTACAGTTGTCTAAAGGAACTTCAATAAAAACATCTGAGCACCAGAGACTCGCAGCAACATTCTAACATGGCTGCCTCCTCAAAAGGAGAGAATCACTATGGCAACCAGGAGGCCAAACATTACTTCATGGCTGCCCTTTTATACTCTGTAAGAAAAAAGTCAAGCTTGTTTTCGAAAAGAGCTGTTCTGATTCACATTTCTAAAGGGCGCCACTCCTTATGTTAGTTAAGTTTCCGCCAGTTACGCTAACAGTTTAGCTAAAAAAGAGGATGTCCCCCAGCAGATAACGCTAGCAGCAAAGCTAATGAAAGTGAAGTCCACCAGCTTGTGGGGAGTTCCTGCTCTTCCTCTCCGACAGAGAAAATGTTACTTTGTTTGCTGAAGCTTTTAGCTGAATCATGCAAGTGGGTAGAGAAGCTGTTTCCAACACAACTCCAGTCCTCTCCTCACTCTAACGGCATGTAGCCGTGTGTTAGCATCACATTGTCAGCATGTCTCTGATAAAGATGGAGGCCTCCAGCTGTTTATTGAGGCAAATTATTAGAGAGTGGCTCACGTCTTCAGTCCTCTTCAGCAGGCTGATGTCCGTGTAAAGTGGTAAGCTGCTGACGGCCGAACCAGAACACAACTTTATTGTTCCCAACAGCTGAGGACTGCCTGCAAACACAGCTGCCACTGGAACCTGTGACCTGAGAAGGAGGAAAGATTTGTAACACAGCCCATAGACGCTGAATGAGTCCCGCTCATTCACAGGAAACCAGTCGGGCCACCTGATCCAGCTGATCAGCTCAAATGTGTCCGGGTCGTAGAACTCCTGCAGCTCTGCCAGCTCTTCTAGGACGCGTGGATAGTACTGAAACACGGGGGGGGGGGGTTAAATGTAACGCTGGTGTCTTTAAGCATCAACCCCAACAGAGATGAGCATTCGCTCACAGCTTAAATCCCAACTTAAAAGTGCAGGTTTTGATTAATTTCTGCTTCCGGTCTGTCCGTCCAGTAGATTTATTCTCATTTTTGTCTTTGTCTAAAGATGTCGGCTGAAGGAGTGGAACATAAATCTCGGCAGGAAACGGCCAAACGCCTCACCTCTCTCCACAAACTGAAGCCGATGATGGTGGGAACAGCTGTGCTCAGGATCAGAGACTGGAGCAAAAGAGAGAGGAAATAAGATACAAAGACAGAATCTGAGGCATTTATGTCTGTTGAGTGATTAAGAATTAGTCCAAAAAATGACTTTGTGTGTTCTTACCAAGACGACGGGGTGGATGGACTTGAGTCTGAGCCATTTAAAGATGGTCATCCAGAGGTCGGGGGAACACACCCCGAAGGCTGTGAACATGCACACGTACGGCGTCCACAAATACTTCATCCTGCGTCACAAGAGAGCACATATGCCGTTGAGCTGGGCCGGAAACGCCCCACAAAACGGGAGCTAGCTTCTGTTGGAGCGGACGTACGATGCCGATGAACACACCCATCAAACAGCAGAGCCAGGCCTCCGAACAGCAGCGAGTGGAAGACGTGGTAGGCGACGGCCGGCTGCTCGCCGATGCGCCCGTCCTCCAGTCTGTGGGTGCTGCTGATTGGCTGGCCACTGAGGGGGAGGGAGACACTGTCAGCAGCCTGTCTTTAACCCCCAGTGGAGTCCTGATCTGCTTATGCCTTTAGGCTGTTCATTTTTATACTCATATGGAGCCAGGTTAACTGGGGTTACAGAGCTTTTTGGTGTATTTGCTGAGTGATAAGGGAGTAAAGTGGGTTACTGTCACTTTAAGACCAGTTGCAAATCTCTCGAGAACTCGAAAATCCCTCGAGATCTGAAAGACCCGCCAAAAATATCGCCTGCTGGGAAGCTAACGACTGCTAAGGTGTGTAATTGCGAACCGCGAGGATGAAAACCTGCTGAAAAACAGTAAATCCCTGATTTACCGTTACAATTAGAGTTTCTTACCACCCACAAATTTTACATTACAGAAAAAAGAAAAATTCTTTGTGTCTATTCCTGAAATATTAAATCTGAGATTATTTTAAACCTTTAGCAGTTGTGTCACACACAGCTTTAGCATCTTCCAGGGCCTTTAGTCCTTGTCTATCTGATTATCTGGGGGCAGCTGGTTTACTTCCTGTTTTTCGATAAATCACAGCCTGTCTGAAGAGACGCGGCGACCTCTGACCTGAGCCTCCTGTAGACCGCCTGCAGCGTGGACAGGAGGCACACGGCGAGCACCAGCAGGTAGAAGGGAAGAACCGAGGCCTGCGTCAGCCGCAGGAATAAGTCCTGGCCCGGCGTCTGAAGGCCGTCTTGGCACAAGAGGAAGTTGGTGACAAAGTCGCTACAAAGGGGACAAAGAAAAGCAGCAAAAGAAGCCGCTAAAGCCACGCCGGGTGACACCAAACGGACTGAAAATGTCTCAAACTCAACACTCACGTCGTCGTGTTGAGCCCAAACTTTACTTCTAGGAACTTCAACAAGAAGTCGCTCTCACTGACAGGAGCAAGCTTCTGAAAACAAAGAGCCGAGTCAGGGTCTGCTTAACAGCCCAACAGCTGAGCAGCCAAACAGCTGAAAAAGCAGCTCTTACTTTGGCCACGTAGCTGAAGGTGATGCCGGTGGTGAACACCAGGTGGAAGTGCAGGAACAGCTTCATCACTCGGGCCACCAGGGGACCCATCTTCATCTTTTGCTGCGACAAAAAAAAACACCACCACATGAGTCACACCGAATATTTAGCCAATGGGATGATCCAGCTGTGTGGGGGCAGGGGGGGGCTAACTCTACCTGGAAGTACCTCGCGAGCACCGAGCCAATTAGGAGGCTTAGCAGAGGCGAGCCGAGCAGGGCGGCGTTCTGGAACTGGAACAGGTAGGCCAGGAACAAGGAGCTCAGGTACACCTTGTGAATGTCAGCCATCTGTTTGGGGGGGAAGAAGCCATCAGCCTGTTTTTACTGGTCCAACCTGGTGACCAAACCGCTCTATGAAGAGTTAAAGGCTGCTTCTGTGAGCTTTTGTCCTGCTGAATTAAACATATTCATGAGAAAAACCTTCCATCCATCAAAATGAATCTTATTCAGTTTTGAGGGGAAGCTTTCAGTCAAATGGAACCATTTCTGAGGGCTCCAGATGAGCTCATATCATCAGAAACTGTCGCTGAAATGTAAAAAA